TCGATTTGGTCCAATCACCTATTTCTGAATCAGCTAGAGGACCTAAGTTCAAAAGTTCTCTGATAGGATCTTTGGTTTATTAGTTCAAAGACTACCGCTGAAGGAAATTGGTGGCAATAGAAAGGAATATTCAAAACCAAAACACGAAGGACATATGCGAGAGGAAATTTTATTCATTTATAAACATAACCCCTAGGTACAAACTAAGGGCTAAGGAAGACGTTATTCACGATCTCCTCGGCCGAGGTTATGTTCGCCATGGCGACACCAGCCCCCTCAAAGTCATCTACCAGTTCCTGGTAGTCGTTGGGGTTCTCCTCCTCTGGGAAGCCGGGTTCCACAAACTGGAGATCGTGCCCCGAGCACACCTAAGCGATTGCCAGAGCCACGACAGCACCGCGACGGACGCCATGAAGGGCCACCTCCCTCGCGCGCACAGAGACATCATGGAGATGATACTCCAGGGTGTCGCCCCATGTGTTCAGGGCGCTGGTGGTGTCGTCCACCGCCAACTGGAGGGCTTCTAGTCACACCGTCAGGGCTGAAAACAAGAATAGCGCAATAAAACATTAGAAGATCAGCAAGGTGAAGTCATCAAAAGAAACGAGGATGTTGAAGATCTTACCGGTGACTCTGGCATCCGACTCCGCCAGTTGCGCCTGGACCACATTCGCCTCCGCCTCTATGGCAGAGAGAGCGGCTTGGGAGGCGTTCAGGGTGAACTCTAGTTGCCCATTCTGCCGGGTCGCCTCGGAATAGCGGTCGATCGCCGCATGCATTTCACGGTGAAAGCGCCGTGCATCATCTCCATTATAGGAGTCGGCGGAGTCAGAGGAAGAGCCTGCTTGTGCCGCCAAATGGGCGTCATGGATAGCACTAGGATGATCACCATTGCAAAATGAAAGAGAAGGGTCAGCAAGACAAGATAAGAAGATTAAAGTCAGATCCGATCTTTCCGTACCCCTAGAGCTAGAGACGCCGGTGCAGAGGAAGGTTCTCCTCTGGGAGATCACCAGCTATGCGCTTACCGTGATCCATTGATCTGTGGAGGACGGTTTGGGATCTGAGGAAGAAGAGAAGTTGCACAGCGGCAAAAGCAAAGGCATGGTGCAAATGTGGCTTCTATCTTCCCCAAGGGGAACATATTTATAGCCAAAAGTGGGGCGCCGATGGGTTTTCTCGACCAACACGGATTTAGAGTCAGTAAATGGAAGGTGAGAGGCCGTCCCAAAGATCGAGAAAACCACACAAGGCCTAATAGGAATGTGACGGTTGCAGGCTCCACGGACCTGAGATTTTATTTACTGGAGTTCTTTGCATGGTTGGTCGATTCCGAGTCGCGGACTTGAAAGTATATCCAACTCAACTTTGCATTTTCACGCGCGTCTAGAGGCAGGCCCTGGGATTAACTGGTTAAAGTTCAATCGACTAGAAGCTAAAGAAAGGCAATCAATCAAGAGAGTCGATCATTGGTGCAGCAGTCTGCAATGGTAAAAGGAGTTGTGTGCAATGGAACGTGATGTCAACCAGAGTATCAAAAGGTCAGCTATAGAGCACGAGTTGGAGGAAGGAAGGGTGGCTTGGAGAATTAAAGAGAGGGAAAGAGATGATCCGACCATCACCATCAGAAATTGGAAAGAATGAAAATCAGTGTAGACGATCAGAAGTGCAGCACAACGGTCACAAGTAATTTTGGAATAAAATCATTTTTATCCCAAAATTGAGGGGCATGTGTTGACACTGAAATTTGGTTCGAGATGAGTGGACTCTAAGGTCGAGATTTATCAAGGGAAGCCGAAATATTCATCGAAGTCGGCTAATCAAATTGCCATCGGAATCAACAGGATAAGGTGATGTCATCACCTCAAAGGAATGAGCCCAACTGGCAGGGATGATAGAATAAGAAGCAGGAAGACACGTTGGACTTTATAGAAGGGAAAGATTGAGGTCCAAGTTACAATAATTTAGAAAGTTTTGTTTTCCTTACCAACTTTGTAACCAGTCTTATTCGACCAGGACTCATAGTTAGGCCTTGGGTATAAATATTGAACCCCGGCCATTGTAATGAACATCTCCAACGATCAACACAAATCAGTACCTTTACTTTTCAGCTCATGCCACACCTTAGGAGTAGGAGTAGAGTAGATTTCGATGAGTTCTTTGGTGAGCAGGGCTGCATCGATTAGGTCCAACCTCGGTTTGTCTGTGAGTATCCAACACGACTTGTACTTTGTTTGTAAGGCTGCATCGGTTAGGTCTGACCTTTTGCAAGCTTTGTATAAGTTAGTTTTTGTTAGTTGATTGTAAGACTTCCCTCGATTAAGTTTGATCTCTTGCAAATGCTGATAGTTATCCTCAATTCTTATCAAAATCCACACGGCTGCCCTCGTTTAAGTCTAATCTTGTACGAGTTTTGATATGAATCCCCTCCCGGTTAAGATTGAGATAGATCGGCTTTGTATCCTTTTTGAATCATCATCTGGTCGCTTTACATTGTTTACATATTGCTTTGACGATGGTTCTTGCTAGTCTAGTCGTTCTATTCTGATCTTGATCGAAGATAGTGTGTGGTCAAAGGCATGTTTAGCCCTAAGTAAGGCTTGCTAGTTAATGAGATCCAGTCTAGAAGTGCTTTTATGGCTGCATCGGTTAGGTCTGACCCCTACTGCTAGCATCATAGATTGGAAATCATCAGGTAGTAAGTCTTGCTTATGGCCAAGCATAGTCTTCACGTCCATCTTTTATATCTTTCGCTTGCTTTCATGAAAATTGGCAGGTTAGATCCATGTAATTGAGTAACTGATTATTCTCGATATGCTTATTTTACTTATCATACATCATGAACATGCTGGATATCGACTCTCTAGTCAATAGCCTTGTCTTACTAGCCACTTGGCCGCACATTTGGAACTATCTGGACAAATGACCGGCATGTTCCACCTTAAATTACTGATCAATCTTGCTCCCTTATCAATTATAGATCAAATTGATTGGCACACCCTCGAGGTCACGACCGTCCGGTCTGGTGGTGCCCTTCCAAAGCCCGGAGAGAAGCTCAGGATCTGCTCTGCGTGGGCCTCTCGCTGGCGTTGATCACTGTGTTCCTGGGGTCAGATTTTCGGCGTCGACTGGCTCAGCACCGTAGGACTCATAAGCCCCGCAAAACTTACTCAAAGCAAGGAAGCCATAAGTAGTAAGATGATGGATCTACACGTCGAAATCCTCCAGCACTTCACAAAGAAATCAGACGGAGGGAAGGCGAAGGCCGTAGGAAAAGTAATCCTTGAAGACAATAGCGTAATCCTTACCGGGCGTTGGGATAGTCTCCCCTTCGAAAGCTTAGCCTGGCCTTTAGGGATGCAACCATCCTTCTCGAGTTGAAGGATCATCTTCTTGGTCATGAGCAATGGCCTGAAATCCCAAGTCTTGCCATCCATGGCCTTCGCTTCCTCAGCTCCAACCAAATCACCGATTCAGGCTTCAACACCAGCTAGATCTTCCTCAAGTTCCTGAGCCTCCACAATAGCAACCATACACTCCTCAAAGCGTGTGGCCCACCTGCTAGCCCTAATACCAAGGAGGTGGGAGTAGGGACCAGAGATGGTAACCTGGTGAGGAGGAGGGCTAACAGCAGAAGACATTTCTAAAGCACTAGAAAAAACTAAAGGAGAAGCGCAGGCAAGTCGCAACTAAGGAAAGGCTAAAACGAGAGAGATGGCAGGGAAAGCGAAAGGAGCGAAAGCTAAAGGAGCAAAAGTGATGGCTCAAGTGGCGTTGGGGGGGAGCCTTCACCTACCACCCCGTTATATAGGCCACAAACGGACACTTTAGCTTCTAGGCCCAACGGTCATGTCCGCCCAGCGTCACGTCGGTTCCAGAGCCACCGCAACCAATAAGCAAGCACCACCTCACACCTCCAACGGTCCAATCCGGGTGACCCAGGGGGAAAGGGGGGAAGCCTCCATGACTCAACGATAATAAAAAAACTTTGAGGTCGATGGCCCGCTTGCATCGGACCATGCCCTCAAGGGGGGATCTGTTGGGACATAGACATATGAGTAGCGGAGGCTTGTACATAATGGCAACCGTCTGCATGTGTAATGGTGTGCAGGTGGGTCAGAAGGAGCCTTCAGAACCGGCCAACGGCATGGCAAAGGCCAAAATGCAGGGCGTCAAGAAGTGATGTGCAGGGAAGCAGACCAGAGGCCTTCGCCCCTATGGCCCCGCCCGGGATGGCCAATGGAATGCGGCAAAGGCTCCGGCGGTGTCGGCAAAGGCAACGGATAGAGCGGTGAGACGGAGGCTCAGGCGAAGCCTTCTCAGGCCAAGAGCACAAGGAACCCTCGAAGGCCTCCACAGGCAAGGAAGAAAGTTCCCATAGAGATACGATACTGGGCCACAGGCCGCCCACAAGCATGCGGGCCCAGCTCAAGGCGGTTCAATAAGAGAATGACTAGGCTACCCTTAGCAGTTTGCATTAGCAGGAGGATATTCCTAGAATGTGCTCCAGCCATCAAGGGGCAAAGATGTAAAGTAGGAAGGCAGCAAAACAGTATTCTATAAAAGAGGGACTTGAGCCCTGTGTAAAAAGGAGGTTGTTGAACTCATTTATGAAACCCTAATTGTGTCTGATCCCACCAGTCTCTCCTTCAGCCTTCGTCTAGGGCCTCCGCCTAGGTAAACATTCCACCGTTACATACCTGCTGGAACTGGTTTTCCCAAAAAATTCATTGACCATTCAAAATGGTTTTCACTAGTCCATGTTATATTGACGATTGCAAGCAACTGAACTACTTACATATGACTTCACCATGTACTCTCTCTATAACGACTTTCTAAAGTATATCTACTCCTACCATCTTTAAAACTAAGAAGACACTACTGGTTTTTTTAGTAAAAGAAGACACTACTGGATGTGTACTATCTATCTACCAGCATCAAAACTCGACGAAACAATCTATGGTGACGCTGAGGGATGTGTAGTAGGCGTCATCGGCGGCTCAGCTGGCATAGGAAGCATTATCGGCGGCACCTGTTGCACTGTCAATCAAATATCAACAACAGATTAATCTCCTTTTTTGCGATGGAAGGATACATAAAATCTGGGGAATCTCATAAGGCATTGTAAAAAATATAGATGGGCAACGGGCCGGCCTGGCCCGGTACGGACCCGTGCCAGGCATGGCCCGACAAGGCACGGCCGACGTCGCCTCAGACGTATGTTGCATTAGTGTTTCATGTTGCAGTGTTTCATGTTTCTAAGATGTGTTCAGAGAGTCATGGAGGCACAGCCCAGGCGCCGGGGGATAGGGTGCAGTGAGCCAGGTGCCCACAGATGGGGTGCGCTGGGGGCCAGCAGTCAGGGTGTGTGGCGCGCCGTGGGCTTCGTGCCTGGCCGACGGCCCAAGCATGGCCTATTGGGCCCTTTTCTGTGCCGGGCTGGCCCAGAAAGCACGGTCTTTTTAGCAGCCGGGCTGGCCCGAGGCCCACCAAATACAAGAAGCAAGCCAGAGAGAGGGGGAAGGGGACGCAGCTGGATTGGACCGCGCGAGACGGCGGCCGCCCCATCGGCGTGCTCACAGCTAGCCCCATGGTGCTCGGGTCTGGATCCGCAGCGACGGACAGCGAGGTTGACGCCACCACGCTCGAGGCCGACGCGGTGGGGGAGCCGTGGAGGAGGTCGGGCGAAAGCCACGGGGGGCCGTGCTCTTCTACCGCCGTCTGTCGGGGGGCGTGGAGAGCGAAGCAGAGGGGGAGGACGTCGGCGATGCGAGAAGGGTAGGAGAACCGCGGTGCGCGCCTACTCACGCGTCGTGCGATACGAGGGAACGGGAGGAGCAACGTCGCTTTGAGAAGTTGTGATGAGAATCAATTAGGGTTAGAAAACAGAGAATGATATATATATACTCAACTATGATAGCGGGCCTTTACCGGGCCTTAGGCAAATTACCGGGCCGTGCCGTGCTGCTCGACGTGCCTGGGAGCGGCTGCCCTATACATCACGCCGTGCCAGCCCGGGCCCACTGCTCACCGGGCCGTGCCATGCTTGGGCCGGGCTAAAATGCCGTGCTTCGGCCCGGACCACCGGGCTGTGGGCTGCATGCCCATATTATATAGTAAAAAACTTACTATTGCACGCAAAGAGCGTTTGGAGCGGCAGCATGGTGCCGCAGGCGAGCGGGAGGATGAGCATGCGGATGGGGTCGACGGGCTTGGGCAAGAACTGGTTCATGTCGCCGTTCATGCCGTGGCAGTGGCAGATGGGCGCGTCCCTGATGATGGACTTGAGCCCGTCGCAGCACTCGCCGGGGGACGTCAGCACGGTGATGTTGGTCAGGTCGTCCGTGCACGGCAGCATGCCAGCCAGCGGCGTCATGCACTCCGCCGGTTGGGGTGGTTGGGGCGGCGGCGGAGGGGAGAACGACGTCAAGCTGGCAGTCGCACCCAGGTTGCCGGCGCCCTGGAGAGGCGGAGACGACCCCAGCGGCGGGAGTGGGATCAGTGGCTGCAACAGGCCGATAATGCCGCCCAGCTGCGGGAAAAGCAGACCCAGGATGGCGGCCAGGAGGTTTGGAGGTAGGCCAGTGGGGATGCCATTGCCAGCCGGAGGTGTCGATGGGCGTGGCACGCCGCCGGCTGCTTGGTTGTGGTCGGCCACCTTTTCTGCTGCATCTTGGCCTGCGGCCGCGGGCTTGTATGCTTGTTGGACTTGGAGCCTCGCCGCATCCGAGGGATGCAGCGCCGCCGCCACCATGGCAAAGGCGAAGAACAGGGCGATGAGCATGGGCGAAGCCATGTCGAGTTGCATTGGAGGCTTGGGATCTAGCTAGGACGATGCTATGGCGCTTTGCCTGGTTTGTGTGTTGGATTGATGTTGGATTGGATGCATGGCCACGTGGGTTTGGCCTTCAATTTATAGTCTGGATGGATAGCTTAGAGTTCAGGATAAAGAATTCGGACATTTCGTGTAACGAGATTGGATTCTTAATCTCTCATCCCTTATTGTTACTGCTTCGGATTAATTGGTCCTTCTCATGTCTGTAAGAGAAGAGAAACGATGAAGCCTGCATAGAGTCCTGCTGATCTTGCGCTCGTAAAAATTGCAATATTCTTTTAGTTTAGATAAAGTTGGACGCGATATATATGGATGGCCCTAGTCCAGATAATACTTTCTGCTTGAGTTGATCGGAAGTACGAAGAGTGCATCATCGCGCGCCGAGGAGTCCTGAACTGCTGGCTGGTTAGTTTTAGGTTCAACATTGCAGATTGCAAGAGTCCGACATTTCTGAAACTGAGAGTCGGGTTGGTGTTCTATTCTATCTAAATCCCTGTTGGCGTCGATCGGTAACAATTGAAGTTTGCTGTAACGAGATATGACTCGTTTCATCAGGACGTTGCATATACTGTAATTAGTTGTACATGTATGTTACAAGTGTCTTTCCCCAATATTTCATCTGTTTTTTTCGACATATCTTGCAAGTGTGTTTCATACAGATGTTGCATATGTTTCACATATTTGTTGTAAGTGTTTTATCTGAATGTTGCGTATGTTTTGCAATGATGACACACATGTTTTCCTGGTGTTTAGGACGTATATTGCAAGTGTTTCAATCGTTTCAGACGTATGTTGCAAGTGCTTCATCAAGATGTTGCAAAAGTATATTTTGGTATTGCACATGTTGTAGTAGGACCCATCTATAGCAGCCACCTGCTGCAGCAGCTAGACCCATCTGGATGCGCGTGGGTGTGGAGGGGGGCACCACGATGTGGGCGCAGGACACGAAGTGTGCACGCCACGGTGTGGGTGCGGGACATAGAGAGACGTGGGCCCCCATGTGAAGCAGTCGCAGCAGACACGGGTCCGGATGCTAGACATTCTGATATTAATTAGGTATAGATATAGATTAATATTAGTGTTGGGTATCGATATTAGGGATACCTGACTTCCCCGGATAGAGCAAGACATTAAAAGGTCTTGTCCGACCCCAAGGCCGTCGGGTCTCACCCAAGGCCGCGGGTTCCATCTCACCCGACCCCTTGGGTGCGGGCTCCGTCTCGTCCGACCCCAAGGACGCTGTTTCCATCTCGCCCAAGGCCACGGGCTCCGTCTCGCCCGACCCCTTGGGTGTGGGCTCTGTCTCACCCAACCCTTGGCCATGGGCTCAGTCTTGCCCGACCCCTTGGGTGTGGGCTCCGCTCGCATGACCCCAAGGGCGCGGTTTTCGTCTCGCCCGACTCCAAGGATGCGGTTTTCGTCTCGTCTGACGGGGACCCATACCACCGCCAACCACTCCAGATCCAAACGTATGGGCCTGGGTCAAAACTCTAACACCAGGGAAGAGACTAGCACGCCTCGATGTAACCCGTGGCCATGACGGGCCATGCCTAGGCATTCACATCAAGAACAATGTTGGGCGTACCGGTGCTGTTCTGCCTAAGCCTCGCACGAATGTTGACAGACGCGTTAGTTCACCACGACGTCCGCCGGGACGGAATGGAACGCCATGACTGGTAGATGACGCCTGCGCATGGCGCCAGTGACGAACAGGGCCACGACGTGGAGCCATCTCTGTTGACATCTACAGGATCGGTGGGACCCGCATAAAGGAGAAGGACCCGGCGATCCTAGAAGCCTTCTTCTCTCTCATTCTTCTCCTTTTCCTCCGCTGTAACCCGCGCTTTCCCTTTGCCTATAAAAGGAGAAGCAGGGTGCCCCTACTAGGAATGGAACCACGAGATAGAAACACAAGAGCATGACACGAACACACGGCTAAGGGGCGATCGAGCTCTCAACACCCGTTCACTCTTTCCATCAGAGACTTGGGATCCTTTTCCTCTCTCGCCTGTTTGTAACCCCTACTGCAAACTAAGTGTCGGTAACACGAGTAGCAGCAAACTAGATGTAGGGACATTCCACCCAAACCAGTATAAACCCTTGTGTCCTCCGAGCACACCATCCGAGCCAGACACGCAAATACAAATTAACTCGTCAGAGGTCCGAAAACACCGACAGTTGGCGCGCCAGGTAGGGGCTTTTTGCACGTCTCGACGTCCACATCAGGCCTCGGATGGCTAATCATGTCGTCAGCTGGGTCCCGGGCACGCACGTGCGCTTTGGGAACCTAGACTTCATCGTTACGACGGAGGGAGAGCTAGCGCAGATTCCCGCCGCCATCCAACCTCTCCACTCTGCCGGCCTCGACGCGATCGTTGAGGCGCTTGAGGAGTTGTAGCTGCACGCACTAGAGGCCCGCGTCCTCGGGAGCGACCAGCTCCTTGGCTTGGATTATAGCAGGCTAGAGCGCCAGCTCGGTGCCTTCCTGGGACCCCGACCATCCCGGGAGGACTTGGGCCGCCTCACGTTCTCGTTCACTAATGTTATGACGCAGTTTGCCAGAGGAGAGCCGCTCTCCCTGGAATACCTCATCCGGAGCGCACCGACAGCGCTCCCGTTTGGTCTGCGCAACACCAAAGAGACCGTTGGCCACCTCGCGTCGTAACGCACGCCCTCATCCCCTATGAACGATGAGTTCATGGGGATGACCGAATATGTTGTGGAGTCTTTCCACGACCTCCTCGCGGGAGAATCGGAGTCACCCTCCGACTCTAACTCCAACAGGGGGAGCCATCACCCCTCACATGAATGTTTCATGGCAGGCACCCCCGAGGGATACATCGAAAGCATCCACGAGGGAGAGGCTACCCCCAACAAATGACCTCGACCACGAGGTCGAGGGGGATGCAGGGGCCCCACCTCGCCTGCGGGTAGAGCAGCTGAGGGCCCTGCACCAAGAGATCGAGGAAGCACGACTCTAGCTCGAGTAGGAACACGCGGAGCTTGAGCGAGAGATCAAGCGCCATGGAGACGGTGGGCATACATGCGCCTTGGCCCGCGACGTGAACTGGAGGATCGTCGAGGACGACAAAGCCCTCCCACACTTCACCCGGGCAGGCCAGAACATCGCTGCTGCGGCGGCCTTGCTCCGGGGGCTTTCGGGGCCCGCGACACCCGAGGACCATCGGGCCCATCATGAGATTTGCACGTTACTTGAGCGTGCGGCGACGCAGCAGGGCGAGAGCTCACTGTCCCGATGACGTGAGCTCGACACCAGCCAGCGCACGCTGTTAGAGCGACACGACAAGCCTTTGGTAGGCATATCCTCAACGTCGTCTTCCCACCGCGGTACCGACTGCTGACCAACATCCCGAAATACTCCAGGGAAATGAACCCTGAACCGTGGCTCAAGGATTATTGGCTTACTTGCCAAGCCGGTGGAGCAGATAGTAACAATTTCATTATCCACAACATTCCATTATTCCTGGCCAATTCGGCGCGAACGTGGTTGGGACACCTTCCGCCTAACCGAATCCAAAGTTGTGCGGACCTAAAAGAGATATTCGTGGGAAACTTTCAGGACGCATACGCGCGCCCTAGGAACCCATGGGATCTCAAGAACTGCAGACAGAAGTCCACAGAAATTCTTCGTGGGTACATCCGGTGCTTCTCTCGGCAGTGCAATGAGCTGCCCAACGTTGTCGACACCGACGTCATAGGAGCTTTCCTGTCTAGGACCACCTGTCAGTCTCTAGTTCACAAGCTGGGACGTAAGGGCCCGGGAACCATCGAGGAGCTCCTTGACATCGCCACCAGCCACGCCTCGGGCGAGGAGGCAGTCGGGGCAATTTTTGACCGCCTCAAAGGCGAGGCAAAGTAGGACGAGGATGGCGGTGAAGGCGCCTCCAACTGCCCCAACAAGAAGAAGAACAAGCAGCGGTGTGAGGGCCCGCTTGTGGCCACTACCGACCGCCAGGGGGGTCAGAAGCCCGCCAAGGATACCCCAGACCACTTTGAGAAGATACTCGAAGGGCCATGCCTAAACCATGCTTTCCCCGTCAAGCACCTATACAAGGACTGCGTCCTCATGAAGCGGTTCTTGTCTGGAGGCTCCAACAAAGGGGAGCATAGGAAGGAGCCCAAGCCGGCCATAGACGATGCCAAGGGGAAGGATGGTGGATTTTCGGCACTGAATGGCTGCCTCATGATCTTTGGAGGGTCGGTGGCCTATGACTCTAGGCGCCGCTAGAAGCTTGCACGCCGCAAGGTCTATACGGCTGAGCCAGCCGTGCCTTCCTTCCTCCGATGGTCAGAGTCCGCCATAACCTTTGATCAAACCGACCACCCGGAATGCGTCCCACAGCCAGGAAGATATCCGCTCAGGGTCGACCCAATCATCGTCACGAAGCGGCTCACCAAGCTGCTGGTGGATGGAGGCAGCGGCCTCAACATCATGTACGCTGAAACGCTCGATGCTATGGGCATTGACCGAGCGCGCATTCGGTCGACTGGGGCACCTTTCCACGGCATTGTACCTGGAAAGCAGGACGTGCCACTTGGGCAGATCAATCTGCCCGTCACCTTTGGGAATCCAACCAATTATAGGACGGAGACCCTTACCTTCGAGGTGGTTCGGTTCCACAGAACCTACCATGCCATCCTAGGATGTCCATGCTACGTGAAGTTCATGGCCGTCCCCAACTACACCTATCTGAAGTTGAAGATGCCGGGTACATTCGGGGTCATCACCATCGGCACCTCCTTCCAGCGTGCCTATGAGTGCAAGGTCGAGTGCTGCGAACACGCCATGACAATTGTCGCATCCAAGGAGCCTGCGGCCATTAGGGAAGAGACCATCGAAGAAGCACCTAACCCCAAGCGATCGGCTGGGTCTTTCGAGCCTGTAGAAGGCGCCAAAGAGGTCCTCATAGACCCTAGTGGCTCTGAGGGCAAAGTGGTGCATATTGGCACCA